AAGGATAAGTATACAAGTTATCATCATCCTCTTGCCTCTATCCCACCTAGGTGGGGTCGGCACAACATGAATTATGTTGTAAGCGGTTTTGGCTATATTTTTACAACCAGCCGCCTGCCTGACGTCAACCCTCCTTGGGAAACAAATACCCAGATCAAATTTCAACTGTGTAACTATCACGGTTCATGAGATACAGCCTGTTGACAGAGGGACAAACAGACAGCGGAGTCTTAGTAATTGGGCCCCGTTTTACCCTTTGGGTACGGAATACTAAAAAGGCCCAGAGATATAGTGTTGCACGGTAGACACGTACAACTTAAAAAGGTCTATGAGTTACACCGATTGTATGATCCACTAAAATATCCCTTAATAGTCATAATAGGAGAAAACGGTTAATATTTGACTATTCCTCAGGTAACAAAACTGTGACATGCATGTAATTTTATGCATTTAGATTGATGGTTAGAGCTACCTGTTTTAATCCATTGAAATATTACTGGGACTTATTAGGGTTCCGTGCCCAAAGGGTAAAACTGCACCCTATTAATAAGACTCCGCTGTCTGTCTGTATGTCCATATGTCACCAGGCTGTATCTCAAGAATCGTGATAGACAGTTGAAATTTTCACAAACGATGTATTTCTGTTGCTGCTATAACAACAAATATTTTTTTGCCGTTTTTATAGATAATGTTGACAGCAGTAGTGTTTTTGACAATACGTAAGTGTAATACTTCTATATTGAATAAAGATATTAAAACATTATTAATTTAATGTGATAGAGTGGCAAACGAACTGGAGGTTCCTCTGATGTTAAATGATAACAACTGTGTTGCCAACATTAAAAAAGTGGGCCCCGGTTACCTCTCTCACCAGACGAAACGTAGAAGTATAACACTTATATTTTACGCCGGTCTTCTGTGAGGTCAGTACGGAACCCTTCGTGTGCGAGTTTTTATTCAATAAGAAGAAAGATTGAATTACATATGATGTCGTAATCACCAGAGATTGTGGGCTGGTGAAACATTCATCTTAGAGATGCTTTACATCAAGACATTGGCCCATCAAATATCGGTCAACGCGTAATCTGCAACGTCATATTAATTTACAGGTTCTCCCAGTTATCTGCATTGAAAAACCAAAGATGCGATTATTTATGTCCGAAGCTATGGGAGACCAGACTTATTTGTCACTTTTACGTGTAACCCCGAATGTCCCGTAATTAAAGCGGGACCATTATCTGTTCAGCGGTCTTTCGATCTTCGTGACGTAATTTCAAGGGTATTTCATTAAAAGATGAAGAAATTCATAAAATTATTCACCAAAGACGAAATATTCAGGTTTTATGTGTGTGTACGATAATTTTTAATTTTATTTTTTTTTAAATACCCGTGTGTATTATTGTTATTAATAATAATATTATCAAATTACTAATTATATAATAATGACAGAAATGAATTTGAAAACTTTCTTGCAAAAATTCTTAAAACTAGCTTAGGGTGGGCCATCATCTACAGGAATCATTCTGATTCTGCAAATAGAACTAGAAATGTGTTAAAGAATTATTTAGTTAATTGACAAAATAATATTTTATATATAAATCTTTTATTTTATAGATGAATACTATTTATTCATTTATAATATATTTTTTGAATTTATCTAACAACATTATCATGTACTCGTATGATTATACAGCGTGTCGTTACCACCGCGACAATAAATGAACACACATATAGAGGATGACTTTTTAAACTTGTATTAAACATTTATATTCTTCAAACATCAATATTTACCGAGTTATTAAATTTTCCAAAACAAACAATTTTAGAATACCCTTACGTATAAAACTATAACGTAAAGTTCATTTGTAAAGGTCACAAAGCATATGAATAGGTTGAATGAATTTAAAAGGGATAAAACATACAGTTAGAAGGAGAGGCTTGTGATGCGACGCTGTGGCGCGAGTTGTACAGGATGTTACAAATTTTGTATCTTTTTAACTTAATTACTTTGTTTGAAAAATATTTTTTTTAATTATGGATTTTTTTAACGTTAATATTTTTTTATGATTATTGGCAAGTAGCGTTAGACGTGTGTTCATTTATTGTCGCGATGGTAACGACACGCTGTATACGTCTCGTGGTGTTAAGAAATATCATTCAATAGGAATTTTTATTTAAATTAATTTAATATTGTGGATTTTTGAAAGACATAACAATTAAAATAAATTTAGGTTTAACAATGGCACTTTATTATATAAAACTGTTTTATTTCCATGACGTAGCCTAACGTTAAAACGGGAACAATAAACATAACTGTAAAGATATTCTAAAATAGAGAAATAATAGGTAAATATTTTTATTCATAGATATTATAAAATAGAACATGGCAGCGCGACTAACAAATGAGCGCCTGAACTACAAACTAAGTTACAGAAATAAGTCTAGAGAGAATTAAAAACACTAAAGAAGAAACTAAAGTGTCTGAATGCATCACTATTTCTAAGAATTTGACCCCTGGAAGTTGGTCGAATACAATAAATTTTGAATGTTATGAACTAAACTTTTCTTTTCTATTTAATTTAGCATTTATTGAGGACATGGCTCGAGACTTTTCTTTTTATGTGAAAAGTTGGCAAGCGAGCAGGCGGTTCATCGAATGTTAAGTAATTACCGCCGCTCATGTACATCGCCGACACCTGAGGGATTGAAAATGCGTTGCCAACTTTTAAGAAAGAGTGCACATGCTACTCGCCTGATGAAACGCGAAATTATACAATTTTCACTTTACGCCATTCTTCTGTGTGGCCATGGTACTACATCGGACGAGCCTGCCCATTCGTACAACAGAAGAAGCACTTTTGTGGTCTTACCACATTAAAATTAGTCTATGTAGTGCATATGTTATAATTATGTTAATTGTAGAAGAGAGTCAAATTCAACAGTGGAGTAACTAGGTATAGACTGATGATATCATGAAGATTATATTGTTAATTCTCATAAAAACCGCTTATATTCATATGAACACATAAAATTATAGACTGAGATGATATTTGAAGAGGATATTGTTTTTTCCAATAGAAATATATTCATATAAACACATAGATGGCCTCAATGCTTAATACTTTTATTCAAAAAGATTTAACGAGCAATTCAAAGAGAAAGGTTTTCCTTGTACTGCATATTATTATTGGATAAGTATATTTCGCTAAAAGATTGGAATACGAAATCTCCATCGCTTAAGACTAAAAAATTTACAGATTCGGATGAGAAATAAATTGCGTTTTTCTCTTCTGTTGTACTCAATGATTAAAATTAATTTTACATTTGTTTGAGCTTTTATTAAATACGTAGATAGATCAAGTCAAGTTACGGTCGAACTTTCTTTTCCGTTAGATATATTTAAAAATATATATATATTTTTATAGGATAACTACTCAAGTTACTTTTTAATTTTTTTAACAATAGCTTGTTCAATGAAAAGCGAAGTGAATGCATTGTGATTGTTAACGGCAACTAGTGTAACGAGATTATGGCTTATAGTCGAATGCGGGCTAAATCACCAAAAAGATTTATGATGCTTTGTAATGTCAAATTCTTCGCAATTCCGTGTCATATTTTAATCATGTAGAATAATAAAAAATACTGAACTCTGTTAGACTCTTACGTGTACAAATAGTTGCTATTGCTTGCGGAAGAAAGAAAAAATAGGCAAAAAAGAATTCTATCGCCTTATTAAAAAGTAAACGACGTTAATATATTTATATTCAAAAATTGCACGCGATCGGCTTCGATTCTTTACATTCGGTTGCCATATATTATCTAAATTCAAAAGCGAAAAATGACAGATAAAATGATATACTGAAATGATTAATTTACAGTCATAATATAATTATGTAGTTTTATGTCTGTTGAAAAGTAAAGTATCTGAACTGTTTAGCGTTTTAATACCGCAGAAATTTATTTATATAAGATATACACCAATTTCGTTTTTAATTAGTTATTCACTATTTTGTCTTAACAGAAATTAAAACGGGGAGATCGCTGTTTTTTTTTCGAAATAACGCAACTTAGATGATAAAAATAAAGCAGACTACTACGTCTATATAAGTAAAAACATCGCGCCACCCATGACGCGTTCGATTAATGAACAGGACATTTATGTTTGCATGATCTATCGATAACAGTAGCACAGATACTGGAACTACTCAGGGAATGAAGTTGATGCTATTTATAACGATTTTGGTAAAGCTTTTGACATAGTAAATCATTTAGTTTTAATCAACAAACTCCACAAAATGATGGATGGAAATACATGGATGTTTTTTATTGGTTCTATTCACATCGCATACATTGAACACCAAGAATAGTTTCAAAGTTTAATAAGGGTTTTGTTTCTAGAGAAATTAATCTACGTCTGAAGTTCCACAGGACTTGTACCATTTTATTATATTTATAGATGATATTTAGTAACCGTAACTCAGAATTTGAATTATAAATATAAATATGTTTATTAATAATCTTTTGTATGTGTTAGTAAGTTTAAAAGAATAAATGAAGCTCTGTCTACCTTAAACTTATTTTCATACCCCCTCATCACTATGTTTACCCATTTTAGACAGATGTTTCAGCTTACGGGTTAACTATTCTTTTTATTTATCTCTTAATAATAATAATAAGAACATTAATAATTTGAGTCGCTTTTTGAACAGTTAACGTCGACGGTATCGAATAGGACTGAATATTTTAAATGCGTCGTGTTTTCCTATGCAAAAACAAGAAAGTGCTTGGTAAGCGGAATTTTCTGTTTCATTTGAGCGCTCCGAGCCATAGGCGGCGCGGGGCGGCCGCGCCACCGCCATTCGTCTGCTGCTCGCCTGCAACCGCGCACGTCGGGACAACGGCGCCGAGTTCTAAACACGCGTACGACGCCACGCCAAGGGCTGTTCAGCGTGAACATAAAACAATACTAATATGTGTTGAGGCTCCCTTCGGTCATCACTATGAAGGGCAGACACCAATTTCGACGCAGGTTCAGCTTACAACCGTCCTTTTTGAAGGAGGAGCACGAGGACGAAAGGAGGCCCCACAGGTGAATAATAAAATATTAAAAATCATTTTTCTTTGTTTACTTTATTTCAGTGTTTATTCACAACTGATAAAACGTATGCTATGTCTATCGGTGTAACTTTATTTTTTGATGCATCATTTCCCGCATGTTTGGTAATTATTTTAGTTTGTTTTTTTCGTTCTAGAAAGCTACGATGAATACGGAATTGAGGGTTGTTATCGCAATGTCTCTTCAATCACATTCTACTCTCATTATTGCCATAATCTTTGCTTCAAGACGATCATGATATTTGTGATGGTTGGATTTAGATGGGGAAAGTATTTTCTACAATTCACCTCAAAGTCTGCGCGTTGTGTACGATAAATAATTTATCCCTCTTATCTAGTTTGGTATATCTCATGATTAGACGCTTTCGGTATCTTACTTTGTCATTAATATGTCAGATATATTACTTTGTCATTAATATGTAATACATTATTTGTTTATAATCATTTTGTTTCACATCTAACTTTTACTAATGTAATACATACATATGAATTACACTTTGAACTATGCGATATCAAAATAAATATATACTTTTTAAAATCAATAACAAAATACATTTTTTTTCAGTTAATTGAAAAACGATATGACATGAAAAATTAATTAAACTTTAAAGTTACTTTAAAGCACGAGTACATCTTATGTATGACAAATTTCTATCAAGTTCTTGGCAAATCTTTCTATACCTTTAGAAATCTAAAATATATTTCCGTATGGTTTAACTAATAAAACACGATCTAATATTTGTAAGTCCAATTTATGTCCAACCTTAAATATATACGAAGAGAACTTTTATAGACAAGCTTTTATAGAAAAAAAAGTAAAATTTAATTTTTTTTTTCAATCTAAACTATAAAAAGTAAATTTTATAGTTTAGATTGAAAATTTAATTCCGGAATGCGCTGCTGAAGTTTTATTACTTTAGTTCTCGCCGTGGAACAAGGTGCATTATCAAATGAAGTGGTAATCGTATCCTTTAAACGAGCAATTTTGGTATATATATATAATCGGAATTTCAAAAACGGCTCCAGCGATTTTCATAAAATTTAGTATGTGCGTAGATTCGGGGGCGAAAAATCGATCTATCTAGGTTTTATTATTAGAAAATGTCCTTTTTTCCCTGTTTTCAGGGAATGAAAAATATCATTCAAATATGACGGTAAATTTCGCCACAAAAAAAATGTTATAATAGCGTAATATATCGGTCGGTAATCGGGCGGCCCCAAAACAGCTCTTTGTCTCTGCTCGCTTGGCAAATTTTCATATAAAAAAAAATAAAAATAAATATGCTGACCTCTGTGTATAACGTTTGATTATTCATTCTTAATTTACTTTTACATCTCACATTTTTATAGCACAAAAATACAAAAAACAAAAATAGCACAAAATTTTTATTACTATTTTAATTATTTTTATAACTAAGTTTAACATGGAATAAAAATATAAAAATCTCTAGAATATAACAATTCTAAACTTAAAAATAATATTACCTTTAAACGTTTTTTCCTGAGTCGTTGAAAACAGTTTTATTTGTTGACCTATAAAATTCTCTTCTTGATAAAGTAAAGATTCTATGAGAAAATTTAATCTAACAAAGAAAAAATATATTATTAAAAATTATGAATATATTTTTATTTATATATATATATAAAAATAAAAAATAGAAATGTGACTAGATTGACGATCTTTGAAAGAATAGGTAAAGTATTTTATGTTTTCATTTTTTAGTTGCTGGATGAGTTCGAAACATCGGACATATAAAATTGAATAAAACACGACAAAATGATATCTCATTCTTCGATAGAAACTGTACATCGATATTATATGCACTTATTATAATTACTCATTTATGTCGCAGTAAACAAACTTGTTACATTACAAGTAACGTACGTTTTGTAATAAATATTAGAGCTCTTAATAAAATGTTAGCTTGAATTCTAGGAATAAAATACATAAAAGCTCATGTGAAGAATTGATCAAGATGTTGTCGGGACGTATTAGACCCTTCGTAGCTTTTAATCTAAAGTAATTTCTAAGGAAGCTTGTATTATATTTAAAAAGCTAGTGAATAAAAAACTTTGACGGCATCCCGGCCTTTTCTGAATATAATATTATTTAGTACTCATTCATCCGATATAAATGCTTTTTAAAAGCCTTCGATGACTCAGTGCTCCAATATAAAGGTTGAAATCGACCTTTCTCGAAACACCTTGAAATTAATTTGACTTTTAGCTAAAGGTGTCCATTACAATCATTAACATGACACGAAAAATTATGAATTGTGTAAAATATTATCGAAGTATGCAATATATAGCTTAATATTGATGGGATACTGTGAGTTTCAATTTATAAAATGTGTAGTATTAGGTAATACTGTTTTATTTCAGGTGTGATAAGCAAAAAACGTGACAAAAAATACGTATACATATGTACACGTATGCTATATACATGTATATACATTATTCCCATGTTCTAGTCTAGATTAATAAAGTGACAAGTTACAATCTCGATATTTAAAGATTACTAAATGGTAGGCCAAAATTAGTGTAATTGGGGTTATGACATGTATTATTTTTAATATGTTTATCGATCTTATTATAAGGTGATACTCCTATATTCATAACTTTTTGTTATAAAGTTCTAACAAGAAAACCTTATTAACATTACTCGACCATTAATACTCGATCAACTAGAGGCATCAAGAGATGAACAGTATTGATTTTCAGTAAAATATAAGCGTGTATTATTGTAATGTTACAAATGTAATGAAAATAAAATAATTCATGATATGAATTATTTTCTTTACTTTCAGCTAGTAAATAATGTCTATTGGAAGATTTTGTTTATTGTTAATATAAAATTATTTTTGCGATTCGATTTAAGTTCCTTCGTTGGACTGGCTAATACACGAAGCACACAATGCGTCACGTAATGCACATCTTCATCGGAATAATACCTTTGAATAATTGTCATGTGCTCAGACACAGTTTGCCAAGATGTAATTTATGCCTGTGAGCTCAAGGAAACAGAATGATCTGTTTTTCAATAAAATACAATTGGAGAATATATAGTCATACAAAATAAAAGTGTAGAATTAGAGCAATATTAAAAACAAAAACTCTTTCCTAATCCGCCCTGTACTATCAGGTAATCTCAGAATCACCTTCAACTTTAATATATTCCTGACCGTACTTACCTTACAGTAAAATCCCAGAGGAGGCCCTAAATTTGTTGAGGTTGAAAAATTTAATCCCTTTGAAAGCTGAAGACAGCCATTCCCGGCGAATTTGGTGTTTGGTGCCTTTGATAAAACGTAATAAAAAATGTCAATTAAAAGGGACACAAGTTGCTCTCATGAGCCAAATGGTTGACGGTGATGGCAAATTCCATCCAATTTTCATCAAGATATTTTAGTACGATACGTGATATATAGCGAGCCATGTCGAAGTAAAATGGCAATCATGAGTGTAAGTCAATGGGGTTCGAAGCCTACGACTCATCCATTAATCAAGCCATCAATGAAATCATTTTTATAATGAACATGATAACATTTAGTTTTTGTTTCCAAGGTTTTATTCCTTTCCCGTGACGTCTTATGATAGCATAATAAAACTAATATATTACCGCCTGCTGATAAATGAAGCGTCCCGCACATAAAACGATTATTATAGCAATGTCGCCTTTCTTGAGGCTGCTAGACCCGTCGAGATCGAAATAACCCTCCTTTGCACATTAAGTGATCATTTTACCTCTATTTTACGCACGCAATATAATTTGCTTTCATCATTGAATTTTTTTAACTCCAAAAAGATTATTGGAAGCACTTTTATACATAAACTAGCTGACCCGGCAAACGTTATTTTGCCATATAAATTATTTATAGGGTTTTATTAATGTGAAAAATTGCCAAACGAGCAGACGGTTCTGATATTAAATGAATACCGCCGTCCATGGACATCTGCTACACCCGAGGGTTTCAGATGCGTTGACAACCTTTGGAAAATTGGGCTCCGGCCACCTCACTCATCAGACGAAATGCGAAAGTATTATACTTCCACTTTACGCCTATCTATGAGGTCGTGGTACTTACCAGGACGAGCCTGCCCATTCGTGCAACAGCCGAGGCTGCTACGTGGCCCTACCACCGAGAAAAAAATATTTGGGGTGGACCACCTTTAACATTTAGGGGGATGAAAAATAGATGTTGTCCGATTCTCCAACCTGGCTGATATGCACACAAAATTTGACGAAAAACGAGTTCAATTACAAACACCGTGACTCGAACAATTTTATATATTAGATTTGAAGTGAGCACGCGAAGTACAGCTTATTAATTAATTTTTATTCTTAAAAATAGAATCGAACATTTTTGTGTTATTCAAAACTACAGCAGGTTCATTCTTGTGAATTTTAACGTATTTATAGATATGACATCGTAAAGGTAATGTTATTCCTAATTGAGAACACGGAGAAAACGATTTTTCCTAACATTTATTGCTTCACTATTCAATCTACGTTCTTATTACGGCGATAAGCTTTTATAAAATTAAAATGCAACAACAAAAACACAACGATGGGTAATTTGCATCCAACCCAAGTGCTTTATCACTTAAGCTTAGTAGCAAAGAACACTGCATAATAATGCGGATCACAACAGGTCGATTCGCGCTCAACTCGTTGAGATATTGTTTAGAAAACTCAGACCTACAAGTATGTGTAGGTAGAGCGGCGTTTTTAAAAGCTCGTGAAAAACAATGATTATTTAGTGGGTTTATTTAGGCAATGTCAAATTAATCCGCGCTACCGTGAGCTTTTCAATTGCTTATATTTGTATATTATATCTTTATATGTGTAATTCTAATGTACGTGTGTGTCACTAAACTCCCTCTTAGGGTTTGGACCGATTTAAATGAATTGTTTTGTGCGTCTTCAGTTCGATTCGAGAGTGGTTTTGATTCACAATTTCTTTAATTCTTTTAAGTTGTCGGGTTTAAGTCCTGTGTAAAGGACAACGTCTGCCCGGTCCGCTAGTTATTCATATAAATTAATAAACTATTGAAATGCCAAACCAAAAGTATATATTTAAATGAGGATACATTTTGCGAATACGTTAAAATTTTTATCAACAATATTTACATGCTGTACTAACAGTTATACTAAATATAAAGTTATCTGTCAAACTTTAGCTTGACTCTTAACTCTTGTAGTATTTATGCTAATGGTCAATATCAACAGTATATTACATTTTGGTATATACCTATGGTTTTTTTCAACTTTAAGTTCAAATATTTTTTGTAAAATTAAAATTAATTAATTAACTGTTTGAATAACTTCAGCCTATTTTACATTGGCTAAAGGTGACTTTCCTTTGCAAGCGCGGATCTAGGGGGGGTGGGTGTTGGCCCCTCCTCCCTATTAAAAAAATATTTTTTTAAGAAGACTACTAAAAAAAAATTACTATTGTCTCTTGAACAGTAAAATAATAAACAGAAGATTTAAATTTTATTATTTAACATAATTTAAAGTATGATATATTTTGTTTCCTGTATAAGCGAGGGTATTTTAAAGGTTGCCAACGCACCAGCAACCCCGCTGGTGTTGTAGTTGACCAGAGCTAGAAATCATTTAACATCTGATGAATGACCTGCTCGCTTTACAATTTTTTACATAAAAAAAAAAATAAAGTGAGTAAGAAGTTTTGTACAAAAAATGGTCAAATACCGGCGTTGCGAGATTCAAACCAACGTCTTCCGTTCAAAAAACCGCAAGACGCAGTTTCGAAACTCGCTACCGAAAGTTTTCTATAGCTTATCTGCATAAAATCACATTTTATCTGCAGTGCAGAGGCTAGCACTAAAAATAAAAGTAATCAGTTAGTTAATAACATCGTCTAGCGCGACTACAGCATTTTAGTCAAGCTTTTACAGCGCAGTAAATAATTCGTTATATTTCGCTGTTGTAGCGTTGAGTGTTATTGATCGCTGACATGATACAATTCACGACCGATAAGCGTCGGTGACACATCGGACAACGGATAGGTTTGGTATATATAATATGAATATTTAAGTATATTTACTTTGTATTTATGAATATATTATTATGTTGGGGATATTTATTTGTTTTCTCGTCTGGTTCGGTTTATAGATTAAAAAAAATAAACATATAGGTGTAAATATTTTATATAATACATATATAAATAGGACCCAACCAGACGGAAGTTCTTGGCAGGGGAGACCAAACGGCCGAGGGTTAGGGTGAAAGGGAGAGAAAGCGGCGGACGATGCGGTATCGAGGAGCACCGTTTTCTGCATTAAGAGCTTGGAGCGTTCCGTCCCGGAGTCCCAGTCGCCTCAGATGTCCGGAGAGGCTGACTGGGACCAACATTTTTCGTAATTTGAATATTTTATTAATGCTGTAAAGTAATCCAAAATTGTATTTCATAACAAGAAAGAGTGGCCCCTAACGTATGTTATTTTAAAGTTAATCAAGTTTTCAAAGTTACAACTGCAAAGTCAAATAAATGATGTACGTATTTTTATACTTTTACACTTCGACAAATAATCAAGAATTAATTAAAATGTGATTAATCCTTGCAACTTTTAAGTAGCAAATTAAATGACAATTTTTTAACAAAATTTACATCATTTAATTACTACATATTATCTAATATAAACTAGTCCACGCGGCATAGCGCTAATAACTTAGCTATTAATAGTTATGCTTAACCCTTGAGCGAGTAAAGTACCCCCTCTTGTCATCAGCCGCTGTGCCCAGGACGCAAACCTTTCAAAAATTTCGATGTACGGACTTAAAGTTTCAACAGTAAATGGCAAAAATACATAATCTGAACAAAGAGGCTCAGGATCGATAATAAATTAAAATGAATAAAAATTTTATTTAATAAATCTATCTCCTTAGTGCCAAAATTGGGTACAGACCAACTTGTTGCGTTCTTCGCAATCGGCTTAAGCGGAAAAGGAGTGCTTATAAGTTTGTAGAGTATATCGCCTGTCAAATTAACGGAATGAATCGTAGTTTCGATTTCCGTGGTACAAATTGGATGTTTTTGCCTAAGCAAAATTATTTTCATAGAATTTTAATTCAATGTCGTTCAGAAAATATAATTATTCTCTTAATATTTTCTCTATCAGCTTTAGAATCAGAATCTACTTTAAGAGCGGTGTTATAAAATATTAACAATCTCATTTTCTAAAAATAATACTACTGTAAAATTGCTCAGAATTTTGTAATGATTTTGTAAAAAGAAAAGTTATATTTGACATATTCTAGCTTATTTGCATGTTTATCATTTCGCGCTAGTTTTGTTGCCAATTTAAAGCTAATTTTATACATGACGTTGACTCCAATCGATACCCATACCGTTGTTTTAGTCTAGCGCACCCAACATGTACTTCTTACTTCTAGGTGTTCGTGGAAATTGATTTTAAACTAAGGAAACTTGAAAACCAAATCATGAAATCAGATATTGATCGAGAATCGAGCTTATATTGGTCTTTACAATATTCGGATCTCTCTTTAACAATTAATTTTCATATAATTCGTCAATTCAAAATATGTCACCTAAGTGTGCGAATTAAATCTGATAGTACTATTCGAATTTATAAATTATCAACCATTAAACCGAGACAGACGGCTTAATTTAAATTAATAACAAAGAATTAGTCAACCTGTGTATAAATAAAATATAATGAATGTGCTTGAAACATTGTCTCCTGATTTATACGCCTAATTTAATGAGCCATCGTTCCTAGACCTTGTTAGGAAACTTATTAATTAAAATATAGAAAAGAAAATTTTCGATCTATAAGAAATGTAATTTTTTTCAACCAAGAACATTGATCTTATTAAATGATAATATTTTTCTCTGTCTACACTCCCAATATGGATGCTTTAACTATGGGAACGTTCTTTTACGTTGTTAATATTTTTGTCTTTATTATTAACTAGAGTTTGATTGACACACAAATAACAGCGAAGCATTATTTTGTTTCTATTTAGTGTTCTAGTGTTGACATGGGATCATGTATATATGTTAACGGTTTAAAAGTGCAAATGTATTTCTTGTAGCCGGACAGAGAAGGCGGAGGATTCTGTATCCGGCAGCGGGAACCTGACCAACAACGCGGCCCGGCACAAGATCGTAGTGTTGGGGGCGGCGAAAGTCGGAAAATCGTCTCTCATATCGCAGTTTCTCTACGGGACGTTCTCTTACAAGTACAAGCGGACGGTTGAGGAGATGCATCACGGCGATTTCAACGTGTCCGGCGTGAGGCTCACGCTAGATATTCTGGACACGTCGGGCGCCTACGAGTTCCCAGCGATGCGCACTCTCTCTATGCAGTCGGCGGACGCCTTTATTTTGGTCTACGACATAACAGACGCGAACAGCTTCGCGGAAGTAAGGGCGCTGAGAGATCAAATACACCAGATCAAGGAGAGCACCGCCGTGCCAATAGTCGTGGTGGGCAACAAGGTTGACTTGGCCGAAACTGGCGAGAGGGAGGTAAGTGTTCACTGTAAGTACAAAGTGCGAACAAAAGATGAAAGGACTGTTAGAAAATTCACGAAATCGCGAAGTATCCAATAATAGAAACATTTTACAACGTTGCTCGCTGAACTGAAAGTGAAGTTTAGATTTCGCGAGAAGGCCCCTGCTCTTCTTTCTTAAGTCTTCGCAAACAAACTCATGAAATGAAGACCTAATTAGATCCCTAACAAAGACGTGATTTTCTTTGTTAAGATACACGTCTCACACACATTTCCGGTAATAAAGAGTGCTGTTTATTTAGTTATATTAACTTTATTAAATATACATCGGGAGAAAATATAGTTTTAAAACGTTTAACCAATATTTTGCACAATTTTGGATAGGAATGATGTCTTTGAAACAATTCGTTCATAAAGATGACGTATAAGACATGTAGAGTGTGGTAATATACTAAAAAAGATCATAGCTCATCTTTAAGTCAATTTAATTCATATTGTTGTATTAACATTAATAATAAATTTAAACGACTGCAATGCAGTGTCAGCTTCACTAAAGCGCTGTATGTTTCATGATAAGTTGAACAATGCCACAGCGGTGTATGGAGCCGTGTGCCTCGCGTCATTTAGCTCCCTGGGGCGAGGTGTCGTTGTGAGAGAATAAGTCTTTTCACTCTAGAGAATATTGTGTTAGCCTAGAAATATTATTACCAGCAGGTCGGAAATGAGTATTTCCTTATCCTATACATTGTACACGATTTACCCTCAAGATTTATAATCTGTCGCAATAATTAGCGTTTATCATTAATAAAAACATTATAGTCCAATGGAACAGTCGGTTACTTTTTATAAATAACAAAAATTAATTGCTGTGTAAAATTAATGATTATAAAGGGCATTTTGAGTGGTAATTGTTCAATATGACCACACTAAGGATGCAACACTAGATGCTTATGGTTAATCTGAAATCTGATGTCCTGTTTTTAATTACTTTTTTTCTTTTATGTGAAAAGCGAGCTTTAGGTTCACCTGATGTTAAGTGAATACCGGCGTCCATGGAGATCTACAACACCCAAGGGCTTGCAGATGCGTAAACAACCTTTAAAATAAGCAAGCAATGAAGCAATTTATCCAAAAAATGTCTTCTGTAACAAATTATGTTTATATTGCCATACGACTACTTTACGGTCCATAATATCAAACTATTAATTTGCCCCAGTGGCTTTGCTAATAAACGTGAGCTGTCGTATTTGTAGCAAGGATAATTTATAGACAATCGATAACATAAGACGCACCCAAATATTCACTGTTCGGTGCGCTTTGTTTCCTGGAAGTATTATGGGCAATAACAATGATAACACTTTAAAAAAAATAAAGAACAGGCCAGGAATACCTGCGTTTCAACCCCACGCCATACTGAACAGGAAAGGTTCGATGACAAATTTCTCCATTAAGCTTTAAATTCAATAACCTTTTATGTAACATAATACTTAAATAACACCAGATAATTAAAATTATGTAAAATAAAAGTGAATGTATTTCCATTAAAACGTTGTGGTTCACACGCATTTAATTTCCTTTGCTATGATTGATGAAAACATTGTATCATTTATACGTGGCGTGTGACGTCGCATTGCAACTGGATGACAACGCTCTAATGTCGGAAATACATCGGATGATGAGCATTTTACAACGCCACACCTCTCTACAATAATATTGTTTGAAGCATATATTTTTATTTTTGTAAAAAACTGCGTAAAATGGATTCGATTTTTTTCATATCCTTAATACTTACAGCTTAATAAATAGTTATTATTTTAAGATACGAAGTCTACAACATAGACAGTATATGGTCAACCTATTTTAAAACATTTCAATGTACAGAGCATTAGTTAGTCCATTTCTTTACAAACCTGTCATTCATATTTAGAGCGCTAAGCTTATGAAATACGAACGAAATGACAACAAAAATCAATTTCAATAACTCTACATTTATCTTTAAATTTCACCGTCATTATTTTTTTGAATAGATTAATTTAATTTTTACTGTCGTAGGGCCACCCAACAGTGTTCACTGTTGCACGAATGGGCGGGTCTGTCCGGGTACGACCACGACCTCACAGAAGACTGGCGTAAAGTAATGTGTTACACTTCTGCGTATCGTCTGCTAAGTGAGGTAGCCATCTTTATTAAAAGAAGGGCAACGCATTTGTAACCCTACGGGTGTTACAAATTTTATCACTTAACATCAGGTGAACTGCCAGTTAGTTAATTGGCAATTTTGTGTTAATTAAATTTAATAAATAAATTTATTTTTAAAGCTAAAGTTAAGGAATATTTTAATTCGTCGTCTTATGATCAGTAGTATGGATAACGTTGATTGATAGATATTTCCGTTTTATGTATATATATATATATATATATATATATATATATATATATATATAATAGGTAAATATATATATATATACATTTATTTATTGTAAGTGTTTAATAATTGTTATCATAATGTATGTATACATATTATATTATCCTTATATAGCTAGCACCTACACTTCTCTCTAACTAACTTTCCGGTTGGCTGGTAGAAAATGCCTTATGGCATTAAGCCCGCCGTTTGTACCAGTTAGTACAAAAAAGTGTGTAAATAAATAAATAAATTTATCACAAAAAAATAAAACAAAGTGGTTAAGCTGCCCTCCGTTGCAAAAGTAAGATAAGGTATTATTAGATGCTAGACCTCCGAATTCGTTGGTATTGCTCGCTCAAAGTAAAGCCCTTAATTTGTTACGTCCGGTCACTCTGGAATCATCACTTCATTAATGTGAATGAAATACTCGTAAATCAAATAGCCTATTAATAAACAAATACACATTTCTGTTGTATAAAACTCATTGCAGTGTGTATAACATAATGCCGGTAGAAATAGTTCGAATGATGTCTCGGGGGAACCGTCTATTTAGTACCAGCCCTAGTGGGTTTTCTGCACCAACGCCCGCATTCAAAGCTGGGTATAATTAACATACATTAACTCCATTGAACTTTAATTTCAATCGATATTTCGAAGCAAAGTGTTCTCCCTAACGTGTGATAATCTGGAATGGCGATAATCGACTCATTTACTACGAATTTCCGACGAAGATTTACCAATATTACTTAATATCTATAATATTGTAGTTAACTAATTTCACTAAACCATAAACATTAAAATAAAATTGTAAGTTTACTATAACACGAAAATTATGGTATTTTCAAAGCTTAGTGGCTCTTATTTCTTAATACTGATTTATTTTTTAAATGTTCGCTAATATAATTCTATTAATGGTATATATGAATTGCTTATGAAAAAATTAACATTTCAATTCACGCAATAATCAATGATGACAGTAATATTATGACTATCGGTCTAGTTCCAACATATATGATTGCAAAATAAAAAAAAATTATCTCTGATTTTTTTTATATTAACAGAGTACATAAGAGTACTCGTATATCTCATAATAGAACGTAATGAAATGTCTACGTCATAGCTGTTTTTCTACCGTAATACGATGGGGGATAACAACTGTATTTTTTTTTTTCAGGTGGAATTCCACACCACGGAATCTGTGGTGACCGTCGATTGGGAGAACGGTTTTGTTGAGGCTTCAGCGAAAGATAACGTGAACGTGTCGCAAATTTTCAAAGAGCTGCTCGTCCAGGCCAAGGTGAAGTACAACCTGTCACCGGCTCTACGACGTAGGCGACGTCAGTCATTGCCAACTGGGCCCCAAGGGCCGCCAGGATCCGGCAACTCGTCATCATCGACGAATGCCAATCAGCCCCATGTCCCATCTCCGGCTCAGCTCGCACACCTTCAGCAAATACGGGAGCGCCACGCCAACAGCAAACGGAACTCGTGTGTGATCTCTTAAATGTTTTGCGATGATTTTTTAAATTTATACCTATCGTTAAAAACAACTGTGTTTTATTTATAATAATTTACTTTTTGTTTCTAGAGATTTGACGATTTCTTCTAAACGTATTAAAACTTAATGGTCAAATTCCCAAATGAACTAAGATTAGTTCTCCTACCTATAAATAATATCTTATTTTTTTAGTATAAGCTTAACCCTCTGTTTTACTATGGAAGCTTGATTTAGTTTTCTGTAGCAACCACCATGATATTTCGTTATTTAATCTTTTGACTTCGATAACTATGCATAACTTTAGTCAGTTTAGCCAACAAGTTTTGACATAGTTTATTAATTGTTGCAGTAGCAAAACTCGTTAAACGTTTCCAGATATTTCTGTGTAAAGCTAAAGTTTTCTTTCCAGTAATATAAAATGAAATTGTCATTGAAGGCAGCGAGCCGGCTCATTAATCTTAGGCTGTATTAATTGATGTCTGCTACGAAAGAAACATTCCTCTTAAAACATAGCTATTGTATTCATTCGCTTGTACTTTGTTAGTTGGTTCACTTTATTTTGAAAGATTAATTATAATGATGTAAGATAACGCCAATGCCAAGAGCAAACTAATTAAGATTAAGATAAATGTTTTTCTTCAAACGTGTATGGAAAGTGATAACTTAGAGCGTATTGTATTGTGACTGGTTTATTGAAATAACGTCTTTTAATATCTACGTATAAGACTTTCACAAATGATAATTGTATACTATATGTATATCTATAAGCTTAAACCACTAAGTCAAATCTTTAACCATTTTTATTATTTAAGTACATGCATTGATTTCTACGAGAAACTTTTTGTAACAAAAAATCAATAATAGTTTATATAAGTAATAAGCTCATATCTTGATTCTTCAAAACTTTTAACTGATGAAAATTATCATTTCTATTCTCGTTTCCATTTTCTTGAGACACATCGTCCGCTAAAAATACGGAATTTAACTAAATAAGAACTAACGCATTATGTCATTACATACTACTGTGAAATGTTTTGTGGTTAAATAAAAAAAAAACCAACCTTTTTCTACAAGTTTCTAAAAACCAACCTGTTGAAACTGTCGGAACAAAATTAACTTTCGTGAAGTAAAGCATGTGATAATTACAAAGTCATACCATACTAAAATCTTACTGAAACATGACAGAGTAATTAATTTTCGAATTTAACTTTATTAGACTATGAGAGAAACTTTTGCCGTTTTTACAACTTGATGTGTGCTTAGGTGGCACACCGTCCTTCTAATCATAATTAAGAGACAATTTATTTTGACATTTAACTTAATCTTCTCGACATTTTAGTTTCAAGATCTCTATTATCTTATGTCCTTTTATATTCCCTAGGTAATATATCAACAATTGTTTACAAATAATGTATTCATATAGTTGATTTTTCCATGAATTTCAGATAGTTTAAACTTCCTTATAACATGACAGAAATAGATTTTTAATGTCGTTATATTATTAAACATAATTATACATTTTATGGATGTGCCTTTTTTAATCTAGTATTCTTAGTTTAGAATTATAGTGAGTTATTTTTGTGAAATTACTTACATCACTTAGTTTATGTACTCCATTTTCAATTTTATATATGTACTGTGTTAAAGAACAGACATCTTATTAATTTAAATGCTAAATAATAATTTATAATAGATACATTATATAGGGTATGTGGAAAATTCACTATGTTCATTTATTTATTTTATATTTATATGATTTTTGGTAAGTGTATCATCATCAAATAACACCAAATTAAAAATAAAAATCTTAAAAAAAGTACTTCATTTTTATGATAAGTCTTCCAATGTTCCATTTCCTTTAATTGAAGAAGTCAGGGATTAATGAAGTTTTTAAATTTCGCAAAAGACCGTTTGAAATATAGAATCTTCTTAATGAAGCAAACGATCATATTTTTACCAATTTTCATGTGTCGTGTTTAATGTAAATTTAGTAGATTGACTATATGTGTGACTTTGTACCGAATATATCAAAACTATATCTCTAAATAAATATATTTACTTCTGAAAACACTTGTTTTATTAATTATTTATTTCAAATTTGGGTACACATGAAATTAAAATGTATCGCAAAGTAATCTTTATTAGTGTTTACTTAGCTCAATATCAAACTGCAAATTAAAATGATAAGTTAATAAAATCAAGTATATAATTAACTATAGAATGTTAATTTTAATGTTGGTAAAATGTCTAAAAAACCAAATTCAACTTAACACACTGTACGAAATATTCGATTTTCAGGTGGCATAACGCTTTCAATGATTTGGTATGCGATGGTGAGTAGATAAATATCAATGCTTTGTTTGATGTTCGCGGTGTCTGTGTGTAGTGTGAGCGGCAGGCGGCAGGAGGCACTTGTTGCGCAGCGCCCGCGATCGATACTACCGCTGGGCCACGACCTGCAGCCTCCGACACCTCCCGCTCTACACGCAGACACCTTCTATTCAACGCAGAAATCTCTTCCCCCACCACGGGGCGCTAAGAAAACAATTTCATCCGACAATCGCATTCCCTCTCCAATATCCGTCGTCGTGAGTTTTAAGGCACCGTTTCGTTTCATTCAAATCGGAGCGTGCCGTAATAAATTGCCGAATATTAACGCCCCGCCGAAATTTCGTACCTGCGTGAGAAAGTTCTAAGTGGCGTTGTCGAGTTTATTGTCTTCATAAATCGTCCCCCTGGGTGGGGCAACTTCAATAACTTTTTCATCGGCGCTATCGGCATCTTTTCTTTCTTGTGAAACTTGAAGGACTGTTTTATTTGTAATGACCTCTTTCGCTTTTGAGTACATATTATTTTTTTATCAACGGGGACCTCAAGTGACCGTTGTAAGAAGATTAAACGATTCGCGTTTCTGTCACCGTACGTGGAATGATAGGTTTCTTTCATCCGGGAATATTTCAGTTCGCGGTAAACGAAGTGTGAAATAGAATATTGGAATCAATCAAAGGCAGGGCCATGTCAATTTTTTCCCGGTAGTTGGAGATTTATAATACAGGAGAGAAAGGTCACCTGCTCCGAATAGCCAATTTCTATTCAATTTGTTTTTTTTTTTTTTTTTATTAATTCTTCAAATACCATGAAAATATTTTGTGTATGTCTTTATACACGCAGTCCTTTTAATATTTTAAATACGATAAACTTATAGGAAAGTTAATAAAATCCACATTCTCAGTCGTCTTCCAGTAACGTATAGGAAGTTCAACAGTAATCTTAGCTAATCTCATTATTAAAATGATAATAAATTGAACCCCGATGAAACGCATGCGTTAGCTAGAAAAGTTATGATTATATAGTCTAAATAAATCTAAAATACACCAAAAATAGTTTTATTATTACTATACTGTATAACTGAATAAAGTTGGCTTCCTTTGAATTGCAAATTTTACTTAAGTCATTTGAATTTCTTTATTCTAATCGATTAGTTATCTCCCCTTGATTGTCTTAAGTAATAAAGTATCTCATTTCGTCAAACTGTTAATATGATTATTAATAAGAGGTGTATCGTTTAAATGAATATACATAACTTGTTTTTATGTGAGAAGGTGGCAAACGAACTGGTGGTTAACTTGATGTTAAGTGCAAACCGCCGCCTATTGACATTTACAAATCCGCTAGGGTTGCAGATGCATTGCCACCATGTAATAAAGTGGGCCCCGGCTACCTCACTCACCAGACGAAACGCAGAATTATAACATTTTCACTGGACATGTCCATTCGTACCGCACCGAACACTGTTGCGTGGTCATGTCATGATAAGTCAGCACTTAAAATCAACAATTTCATAGGAATTTGAACTCAGGTTGCTCGAGTATAGTGAGTTAAAAGCGAAAGGGACACTGAGTCGCCACTGACAAGTAAGCGCACTGAGCCATCATTTGAACTGTGGTAGGACAGTGTTCACACGAATAGGCAGGTCTGTCCGGAATAGTACCACGATCAGCGTTAAGTAGAAGTATTGCACTACTGCGTTTCGTGTGCTGAGGGAGGTAGCCGGGGCCCATTTTATTAAGAGGTGTCAACGCATCTGCAACCCTACGGGTGTTGCAAATGTCCATGGGCAGGCGATCATCACTTAACATCAGGTGAACCGGCAGCTCGTCTGCTATCTTCTCACATAAAACAAATCATGGACTTTTAATTACTACACGTTTGCGATGACTTCACCTTGAAGCAACCACCGTGTACTCTCAGCGACGCAGTTGGTGTCCACATGCGCGGCCCTACCCACAGCGGAGGGCCCAAACCCGTGGGTTCTGGCTAGCCCACCGGTTCTGCGTCAGATGAAGCTTTAATAGTCTCGGGACTGAAAGCAAAAACATCAGTTAATACAAGATACAAAAAGTTGGTGAAGCGCGCCACCGAAATTCACCAGAGATAATTCCTTCAGAGTTAACGTCGTTTCTATCATTGAACAATGTTCATTTAGATAATAGCTGCCTTGCAGTTATAGTTATTTTAATATTTTAAATCGCTTGCAATAAAAGCAGTTTAAATAATTTGGGTTCTTTTTGAGTCCTCAGGCCACCGGTCTACAATATCCATAATGTTGTAATTGTATATGCTACGGGAACGAAAAAAGTATCCTAACACTAAAGACAGTTATTAAAAACTCTATGTTTTATTTTATTTTACTCTCATTTGAGTCAACATATTATCTACTGAACATATACATGCAAATGTCTTAATATATCAAGCACAAGCACTTCGCCCGTGACGTCTTCTGCGAAAATTGTGATAGCTAATTTGCATGATATAAATATAATTTATACCCTTAAACCTGCTCCGAAACACGCTGCATCTTACGATATGAGTATCATTCCGATCGGTTCAGTAGTTTTTGCATAGTCGAACAAAAAATCTGCTGTCCATTTATTAGTATAGATTAATGTGATTTATTTAAGATTACTATAAATATTTTAGCTATGTAGACGACAAGCATTAGAAATCCTTAAATTTAGCTCGAAAAATCGCAAAAAGAATATAATAAGTGTTTAGTATGCGCTAACTTAGTTTTATTTCATATTATGATTATAACAATGTATCAAAGCCGTAATGTACGTAATGATGTAAGTACGCTCAAAGACAAAACTAGACAGTACAAAAAAAGTACCTCTAAACCGTTACAACTTTAAGTGGCTTATGGAAATAATAATTAAATTGTAAATATATAATTATTTTATTTGCTCAAACTAGCTAGGTACAAATAAAAGTCGAGGTAGAATGATAGGTCCTAAGTAAATAACATTTACTTCAATAAGGTTATTAAATATCACAGTACCGTCGTCATAAAAAATATCTATTGCGTTAATAATAATCCTATAGTCGTAAAAAAAGATCATAAAATAGTAATAAATTTCGAATAAATTGTAATAATTACTTAATATTAGTATTTTTGGGGGAAAAATTATTAATAGGTTCATAATATTTCTTACACTTAAGTATACTTAGTTACTAAATATAATTTACAATTTAGACAACATAGACAAAGTCATTAAATTTAAATATTTAAATAATTTCGTTATTACAGAGCTTTTTAGTCTGTCTAGAAATATTGTATCCCATCGCTCTTGCGTCACTGTGACGCGCTCCCTGTACCATGCTTCTAAGTGACCTCAATTCCTATGATGGATAGAACCTTTTCGGATGAGAGATTCGTCCATAAAAGTCATATTCTTGCAGTCTGTTTTGTACACTTTAGGGCTAAAAACTACGCCAGTCGAATTTATAAATCTTTACCCTATCTTTTGGGCTGTCATCTTAGGTTGACGTCTTGCTGTGAGCTGCAAGAAACGATCATGCCAAACAGTAGTAATCCCCCTTCGACCAGGATCCCCTGTATTGGTGTAACGGCTATAAAGACGGTTACTTGCATTTTACCCACTTAATGTCGTCGCTGCATGACGTATTGTTAATATTTGTTAAGATTTAATAGTGGGCTCGTTTCTGTTTTTTAGATTACATTAATGATTTGCCATATGTTGTAGAAAAAAGGTCTCATGTAGTACTTTATAAAACACACACATCTGAAACTAGTAGCAGCATCTCTAAAAATAACGGTGTTTCTTGTACAGATGGGAAATAAACTGTTCATATATATCATTGAAACAATATCGCTTGCTTGCAGTTGTCCTTTCTTGCGATACTATCTATTAACAATACCTTCATGTAAGATCAAATCATTATTTATTTGCACATACTTTGTATCTACGTTGGTATTTAGGGTTTTAAAAAATTTATATAATGTTAAGATCTAATTTTTGTATTACAAGCAGGATATTTATATTAATAACATTTCTAAATTTATTTATAAATCGTTCGGTTGAGCCAAAATATCAATGCCAATAGCCAAATGTCATACATTATTTGAAAGTATCACACATTAACACCCTTTAGCATCACCCAGTGAACACAAATAAAAATTGTATTATTTGTGTACATTGGCTTCACCTATTTATCTTTGTATCATACAAACATAATTATGTATGTGGTTAAGTCCGAAGATTTTGCTTCTTTTTGTACAATTAATAATGTCTGGGCTAGTTTCGTTGCCTTAATATTTATAGCTATTCTGGTATGTTAATCCTGTAGCTCCTATGCTACAGGATTAACATACCAGAATAGCTAACACACGTGTTTTAAACTTTCAACCGTGATCATAATATTTTTGAAGATATCCGTAAATACCGCTAAATTTTTCAAAAAGAAGGCTTGTTACAGCTATTACTGAAAGTTATCAAATATTTAAAAACTTACTGATTAATTGATTTATCTAGTAAATGAAACATGTCCTCATTTTTATAATTTTAATGTTACATTTTTATTTTGCCAATAATATGAAAAGCAGTTAAATAATATGCGTTATATGTTAATATGTAGTTAAATAAGATGGTGATAATTCCTCCCAGCCGATTGCGGGCACGGCTACTGCATTAAACTCCAGTTTTGTCTTTGGTGTGCTCGCTGTGGCTTATGTAGACAATTTTAAATAATATTTAGAAGAACTCCAGACCATGACAATAGCGTTCGAAGATTCCGCTACGATCACGATGACTGTATGTTTGTAGTGGAATCAAATAATTATCTATTCTTTCTTACATCTGAATTGTTTTTGGTGGTCCATTGATTTTTTCGAAGTTTGTTCCTTCTCCGTTAAAAAATATTGCATGGTTACGCTCGACATTAACACCAATATGCAAATTTTTGGAGGAACCGGCAAGTAACGAACGTCATAATTCACCATTAACATAAGATCATTCACATTCTCGAAATAAAATTGTATTATCCATACTCATACTAAAACTAAAACTAACAATGTATTGGTCCTTCTTATACTTTTTATATTTATAGTCCGAAATAATAACATGTTATTGTATATATATTAATATATATTTATAGTACCTGGAGGACCGAGGACATTTTCTAAAAATGAAACCTAGCTAGATCGATTTTTCGCCCCCGAATCTACGCACATACTAAATTTCATGAAAATCGCTGGAGCAGTTTCCGAGATTCCGATTATATATATATATATATATATATATACAAGAATTGCTCGTTTAAAGGATAAGATTTATAGTTGGAGGTTTGAAGAGGGTCCTACATTCTACAGTTAAACAATATCAAACAAAACAAC